GAACGTGCAAAGCTCCTTGAAAAAATCCGTGCAGCCTTTGAGCTGCTTATTAGACACAAATACTTAGCTGCCAGCCATCATGATAAGGTGATACAATTTACGCTGGATGAACTTCAGAATCTAGCTTCGGTTTCACAATTCTTAAGTCGTAGCTTGAACCAGTCACCCATATGCATCTGCTTTTTGGGAGCTTCCCAGCTCAGGAAAATTCTCATATTCCTGCAAGACTTGACTCAGGCCTGTGGATTGAATCGATATTCTGAACAAAGTAACTCCAATGATGAAATTAATTCTGGCGACCTGAGTCGTGAAGTTACAGAGGAGATTCTTCTTGATGGTGAAGATTCATGTCTTCTTTTGGATGAAAAAGTACTTGGCACTGAGTGCATCCAAGAGAAATATATGGGCTCAGCATTTGATAATGTAGCTATAGTAAGTTCTGGAGATATTGCTAACGGCAATAATGTGTCTTCTGGTGCGGATGGATTTCTTTCATGGATCTTTGCAGGACCCTCTAGCGGGGAACAAGTTGTGTCATGGATGTGCACAAAGGAAGAGAAAACAAATCAAGGACTGGAGATCATGCAGCATCTTGAGAAGGAGTTCTATCACTTACAGAACCTCTGCGAGAGAAAATGCGAGCACTTAAGCTACGAGGGAGCACTGCAGACTGTGGAGGACCTTTGTCTTGAAGAAGCCCGGAAGAGGGAGACTTCAGCAGAGTTTACCCATGAAAGTTATGAATCTTTGCTGAGGAAACGAAGACAAGGGCTAAATGAGAATGACCTTGAGTTGGTGTTTATCAGTAGTAGGTTTGAGTTAGATGCTATAACAAATGTTTTGAAAGATGCTGAAACCCTCAACCACAATCAATTTGGATATGAAGAATCATATGGCTGCACGAGTTCTCAGCTACGTGATCTGGAATCTGGTGAAGCTGATGAATGGGGGATGAAAGATTCCTTACATGAGGCTGACAGTTTCATAGAGGTTGCGATCCAAAAACAAAAAGAGCAGCTGTCTGCAGAGGTATCCTTTTCGATCTTTACGCAACACGACTGTGATAATCACTAGCTGCCTTTCTGCTTTAAAAATAATCTGTATATGTGATATCACAGCTTAGCAGAATCGACGCTCAAATGATGCGGAATGTCACTGGGATGCAGCAATTAGAACTAAAGCTTGGACCAGTTTCCTTCAACGATTATCAGATAGTATTGTTACCTTTGGTGAAGTCCTACATGCGGGTAAGTATCTAAAGACCTTGTTACTTTTTCTTCCATTGGTTGCAGTGTTCTTTCAGGTTCTAATTGGCATTTCCATCTTAATCTCCCCCTTTTCCCCTCTCTCTCTCTCCAGGCACATTTGGAGGCGTTAGCAGAGAAAGATGCCACTGAGAAGTCTGATGCTGCAAGAGAAGCGTTACTTGTTGAGCTCGCTCTTGATTCTAAGAAGGAGGCTCGAGGAAGAAATGATAATTCAAAAAACACGCTGGAAAAGTCCAAGGACAAGAAAAAGATAAAAGACACTAGGAAACTGAAGGATTTGAAGGTTTGAACCATCTGTTGTCTACTTTTAGGTATTTCTTGTCTATATCTGTAACTAGCTTTAATGTTTTGTTATAGGCTACTATTGGAAACGACCATCGCTTCAATGTTGACTCAATTGAACACAGGTGAAGATCTGCTTTGAACATAATTTACTTTAAGATGGTGTAACCTGGAAAATCTTTGTTTCTGTATATGTTGGTGGTGAATGATGTGCGGTTGATGTACTTAATGATTTCTTTTTCCAGCCTCCCTTCTGTTGCATCTTTTGTTGATCATTCAGAGGCTGACGTTGTTTCTGAAGCCGTTGAAGCGTTAAAAGATGAGGAAGAGGAATACAGACGCCGTATCGAGTTAGAGGAAGAGGAGAGGAAGCTTGAAAAAACTCTAGAGTATCAAAGAAGAATTGAGAATGAAGCTAAGGAGAAGCACATCGCCGAACAAAATAAGAAATACAGCTGTTTACATCCGATGAATGTGACAGAGGCAGTGTATGATGATTGCATAGAAAATTTCTTTGATGATGTAGATTTACAAGAACAAGAAAAATCCATAAATCAGGTAACAATAGAGTGACAAGGTTGTGGAGGTGAGGTATTTTTTTTAATTATCTCTTAAAATTAATTTCTGGGTTTCTTTGCTTTACCAGGAGAAAAGGAATGGACAACTTGATGACTTGGAAGGAGCCAAAGTGAATATAAATTGTGTTTTCCTGTCAACAAATCATTGTGTGATATCTGATACTGGAAAGGTGCAGGATGTAAAATCCCAAGAAGGTTAGCACTGGTCTTCTAGTATGAATATATGTGTCTACTGACCTTTGTGAGGCACTTATATTTGATTGTTTTGTTTTGCAGTAGTGCCTAACGGTATAGCTATTCAATCTGGTGTTTTCCAATCTGATCAACGCCCTGGGAGGAGGGGTAGACGCCAAAAAGCTTCAAACAAGTTGGTTGATGGAAAATATCAGGTCATACCTTCTGAGAGCGAGGATAGTAAATCTCAGAGGTCAGGCACCGTAAGTGAGAGACAATCTGAAATTCTACGTAGCAATGGTGGTAAGACTTTATTTTTCCAATTATTGTCCTAGATTCTTCTCTTTGTCTCATTTTTTTTAAAGCATTGATAGTTTGAATTGTAGATGATCTGATATGGATCTAGATTTGTTTTCCTCAGGTTACTGATTTTTCAAACTTATATGAGATGCGCTTGGGGAGACCATTAAGGCACTAATGAAACTGCTTTTATCTGTTGGAACTAATGAAATAGTTTAGATCTCTACAATAAGTGTATCTTGATTTTTGCATTTCTGTCAACGAGGAATGTCAGTATTTTCATTAATTTCAACAATTTCTTTTCTACTATCATTTATCTTGCATTCAATATTGTATCCTGGTGATGTAGATGCGGGAATAAAGACATTACGACAATTACAAGCTGAAGACGATGAAGAAGAAAGATTTCAAGCTGACCTTAAAAGGGCAGTGCTTCAAAGCCTTGGTAGGTTTTCAACCATCCTTGTTTATATATCATGTCTGACAGTCATTTATAGGAAGACTGGTTTACTGTATACATATACCACTTCTCTCCATCTCAGGACACATTCTTTTATCTATTTTTTTTTTCTCATGCTTTGCTTATGCCAACAGCTGCTACCTTTTCTTTTAGAATTTTCTGTGATAATATTGGGGTGACAAAGGCCCTTGATATGAAGCATCTGACACCAGCACATTTTGTTTGAACCCAGATGTGTACCGAGGAGGTAGAAATATGACATCATGTTTGAGGACATCTCTGGAAGACAACAATGATTGGGTTTTATCTGATGTCACAAAGGAATCTCAGAGTTCGCCCGGAGTTGCCATATTTGGCACAGGTCTTCAGAATGAAGTTGGCGAATACAATTGCTTTTTAAATGTTATCATACAGGTAACCTTCACTTCTCATAAACTGTTTGATTTCTTGGGTATCAATGTCTATAATTTCCAGCTTAAAAGTTTTCCGTTTTTTTTTTCGGTTTTGTTATTATCTTAGTCTCTATGGAATCTGGGGCTGTTTCGAGCTGAGTTCTTGCGGAGTTCAACACTAGAGCACCATCACGTTGGAGATCCTTGTGTTGTCTGCTCATTGTATGAGATTTTAACTGCTTTAAGTGCTGCTACGAGTGAAGCACGAAAAGAACCTGTGGCTCCTTCATCTCTCAGGATTGCTTTGAGTAACTTGTATCCAGATAGCAGTTTCTTCCAAGAGGTAAAGAATTGATCTCTGGTTTTTCAGATTAAGCTTTTTGTTTTCATAAAGGAGCCTAAACTTGGGCGCGTCATATGGTGGACAGGCTCAAATGAATGATGCTTCAGAAGTATTGGCCGTAATCTTCGACTGCCTTCATCGCTCATTTGCTCAAAGTTCAAGCGTGTCTGACACAGAATCTACTGAGAGCAACAGTACTGGTTCATGGGACTGTGCCAATCGCTCATGTATTGCCCATTCTCTGTTTGGAATGGATATTTTTGAGCAATTGAATTGCTACAGCTGTGGGCTGGAGTCCAGGCATTTGAAATACACTTCCTTTTTCCATAACATCAATGCTAGTGCCCTACGCACCATGAAGGTATCATATGAGTGTTCAATAGACTTGCATTTTCACATATATTATTAGATTACTCACTGTGGTTTTGTCCCATTTTACGCCTAATAGGTTACATGCGCTGAAAATTCATTTGATGAACTTTTAAATCTTGTCGAGATGAACCATCAACTAGCTTGTGATCCCGAAGCTGGTGGGTGTGGAAAACCCAACCATATCCACCACATTCTCACCACTCCACCACATGTTTTTACTATAGGTAAAACCTTTTTTAGGATTCTGATGACTGCAAACCTTTTCTGATCACTGATATTTTGGGGCTGGCAGTTTTAGGGTGGCAAAACACATGTGAGACTGTAGAAGACATAGCAGCTACCCTTGCAGCCTTGAATACCGAGATAGATATCAGCATCATGTACCGTGGTCTGGACCTTAAGAGCACATATAGCTTAGTTTCCGTGGTACACATTTCTTCTTCTTCCCTATGACATTACCAGAAGAATGTTGTCTAACTTGAAACTGCCTCTGTACTTTGTGTTTTCATTGTTTACTTTCACCCTAAAATCTCACGGCCTTTCACAAATTCTGTATGTTTTTCTTGCTATTTCTGCAACTCCAGGTTTGTTATTATGGACAGCATTATCATTGTTTTGCACATAGTCATGAGCACGATCGGTGGATCATGTACGATGACCAAACAGTCAAGGTAAGACTATACTTACACCGCACTTTGCAGGCAGATACACTTGTCGACACTATCACCCATTTGACGTAATATCTTCAGGTTATCGGTAGCTGGAGTGATGTACTTTCTATGTGTGAGAGAGGACATTTGCAACCACAGGTTCTTCTCTACGAAAAGAAACTTTAAATCAGAAAACAAAAGAAAAAACAGAGCAAGTAGAGTTACGTTGCAACAGTTTTGGAGATCTCCCAAGTACAAACTGCAAAGAAAGTAAGTACTATTTTTTGATAATCGAAAACTCAGAGAGGAAGGAATGTGATTTTTACTCATCTCAGTAGTTCAAAGAGGATGGGGAAGAAGATTTTGTCTTTAAGCTTAAGCAATAGTGTTTTCATTGGAAGAGGTTTTAGAAGATGTCATATAGTTTTAAGTAATCTTGGCCAAATCATTGTCACATTAAGCATTATATGTTCATATAATTATCTATACAACCTTCGAGAAAATAAAATGAAAAAATCATTAAAGCCTTTTTTTCTTCGGTCGTTTTGTATAAGATCATATCATTTTTGATAAATATATTCAACAATGTGTTTCATTACAATTAATTAGCTACACGTTTGGTTTTGTTCTTGTTCAATTTCCACGTTTATTTTAAATTGAGAATAGATTTTCATTGCCTTTGACATAACAAATAAAATTAAATAGATTTTCATCATAAGAAACACAAATAATTTAAAAAATAGTAATCGAATAAAATAAAATAAAATCTATACAATAAAAAAGAAGATTAATCTTAATAAAATCAATTCAATATAACTTTAGACTTTTAGTAGTTCAATTAAGATAAAGACTGAACATAAAAATTATTTTGTTATTTAATCCAAAATTGGGACCAAGTACAACATTAAAAAAAACTGTATCCAATCCAAAACCCAAAAAAATAAAACGATTAAGATATTAGCTTTTTAAACTTCAATCTTGACCATTGGTCATACGCAATTAATTCGGAAATCATTATATAGAATTAATTATTATTAACTAAAATTTAGATATATATCTTAAAATTAACAATCAAAATACAATTATACAATCTTAAACACTTAACAAAATAAACAATATTAAAAAATACAATTTTAAATTTAATTTTTTAGTTAAAAAATCGATCCGCGGTATACGGCGGGGTAAAATCTAGTTATTAAGTAAAAACAAAACAACTATTATTAGTAAAAAAAAAAAAACTCAATATCATATAAAGAATCTCCCCTGAAGATACTCCAACAACGGTTTTTTTTTAATAATCTTAATATCTATATTTTACTGAGTCTTCTTTGCACTGAGCAAAATCCGGCTTATATACCAGACTACTTCTCCTTCTTCCCTTCCTCATTTACCAAAAACCATTTACACAGACACACAAACACTAACACACGCATCTCTCTTTCAAAATCCTCATTTTCTTTTCTCAATTCTCCAGAGTCTCTTGTTCTTCTGTTCCCATCGAATGAGCAATACAAAAAACATCCACAAAGGGTTACTAGAGAGGTTTTTAGATCTTCTCTTGATCGCTCTTATAATTTTCATGACTCTAAAAGGCGGCACGAGTGGAGCTTGTGCCGCGTGCAAGTACCAACGTAGACGATGCGCCGCGGATTGCCCCCTCGCGCCTTACTTCCCAGCCGAACAACCGAAACTCTTCCAAAACGTTCACAGGCTATTCGGCGTAAGAAGCATCGTCAAGATCCTAGAAAAACTCGACGAAACTCAGAAACCAGAAGCCATGAAATCAATCATCTTCCAGTCTTATGTCCGTGACCGTTCTCCTGTATACGGCTGCCTCGGCGTCACGCAACAGCTTCAATACATGATATGGCTTGCTGAAGAAGAACTCAAAGCTGTCAATTCTCAACTACAACTCTATCGCTCTCAACCACAAAACGGCCAAAATCAAAATCAAAACCATAATAATCATAATCAGATGATTCATGAGCTTGGTGGTGATAATAAGCAGCAAGAAGATGTTACATCGCAGCAGCTTGATTTGGGAATGGGACTAAACGTTCACAATAATCAGAGCAATGTTGTTACACCATTCTTTAGTCCATTATTACCAGTATCTGAAACACAACAGCCACAAATGTCTTACACTTATAGTTGCAGTGAGGTTAACAACAATGGCTATAGTCCTCCTGCTTACAATACAGATTCAGGCAAGGAGATTCTGACCAACAACAATAATGTTTGGGGTGGTCAGAATCGATTTCTGTATAACGTCAACAATGGAGGAGGATTTAGCAACCAAAACGAGAGCTGTCACGAGATGAAGAGTAATAACGGTGTAATGGCAATACAATCACAGCTCGTAAATCTGCAAATGGCATCAAATCATCAGCAAGTGGAAGAAGATGAAGATGCTCATGAATACGATGAAATCCATCAGTTTCTTGAAATCATTGACGATAGGCAATCATTTGCGGATTCTAAAGAAGCGTACGCGTCAAGGTATGCGTGTTTTTGTTCTCCATCTTTTCTTTGTATAACTATCAAAGAAGTTTTTCTGAAAATGGTCATTGAATTGGAGTATATTGGTGGTTGCAGCTCTGGTGGATCGTTGAAAGAACAGATTGATGAAATTGGAGAGAATGAATTGAGAAGTGCTGCTACTTGCTTTAGTCTAACCAGTATGAATTGAATTGATTTCTCAATTCATGATTCCTATTTATAAAAAGACTTCAGCAATTCATGTTCTTCGAAGTTTTGTTTATTCTAATCTTTTGTTGACACTTTTTAATTTCAGCGTTTCTCTGTTTGTTTTTTTATTTATTTATATAATAAGTATCTATCTCGAATTTCCTTCTAGGGTTAATGAGTGAACTTGAATATTAGAGCATCTCCAATGCCCATTTCTATAATTTCCTCTATTTTAGAGGCATATAATGGAGCAAAATCTCCTCTAAAATAGAGGAAATTATAGAGATGGGCATTGAAGATGGTCTAGTGCAACATAACTCTACTTGCTCAATTTTTTCTTGGTCTTTTAACGGTTAATCAAGGGACGTCACTTCTCTGCACAAGAGACAATCGATGAAGCTAAAAACCGGCATGGCTGAGTGAAGAAGAGAGTCACGAGACTAATGTTAATGTTGCATTACCTCCCGAGATCACTCACATTACTCAGGTAATTAGACTTTCACTTCTTTATGAAACTCTAAAATGTAATGTTGATCTTGTGTTGAACCTGGAAGAAATCAAGAAACTGGGTGTGGATCTTGAGAGACAGATTAGGAGAAGTTGGTTGGGTTGGAGTGATAAGCTAGGAGGCACGTGAATAAGCATAGAAGGCATGTGAAACAGAGTTAAAACAGAGCAAGAAGAAACAGATTGTGTAACCGCTTGAGAGTCTAGTGAGTTGTATATAAATAGAGATAGAAGAGTATTGAAGAAGTTATGCATGTATTGATGTGTGTGTAACAAACATATGTTTTTTTAAAGGAGAGATAGGAGATCTCTTGAACAAATCTCCATTGTTAGGATGCTTGAGTTTGTATCTTGGATTGAGAAGTGATAAGAGAGAAGAGTTCATAGCTTCAAACCTATCACTGAGCCCGGATTATATATACCTAAAGTATCATCGTCCCTAGAAGCTGAAGCCATTCATAGGACTGCACTAAGTGTGAGAAATCTCGGCTATACAAGCATTTAATCTTTGAATCTGATTCCAAAGAGATGGTTAGAGGAGCCCTACGAATAGCTTTAACTTGTGTAACACAAATGTGGCCAGTTGTTTGTCCAAGAACTTGTAATCAGGCAACACAATATTCTAGCGTGCATGTAGTTGGTAATGGCGTGTGTTAAAAAAAAAAACAATATTATTCACTAGATATACTCACTAGATATACTCACTAGATATGTTTTTTTTTTTGTTGATAAAAACTCACTACTTAAAAGAAAAACGTAAAACAAAATTCACAAGTATTGCGGACACTTAGATTTTTTTTCTTTACAGTAGATTTAGTGATATAATAAAAAAAAAATCAAATATCTTTGATAATGATGTAACAACGATAAAAATAAACAATTTTAAAATTCTCAAAATTTGAATATATAGTTATATTTTTTATATTGCAATAACAATTATTATTTAAACATTTGTTTAATTTTAACAGTGTATTTGTTGGTTTTCTACCTTTTGGAAATTTTAAAATTGTGTTTTATAAAATTTCAATATTTGTAATATCTCAGTATATTTTAACTAATGATTTTGGAAATATATTCAAATTATCTGTTATTTACACATTTTTGTTTCCTTCAATTTTGTATTTAAAATTAACTTTTGTTAAAAAATAAAAAGTCTAAAACTTGTAGCTTTTAGATGATATTTCTTGAAATTAGAATAGAAAATCAAAACAAATTATGAAATTCATATAAAATTTTTAAAACGCTGACACTATTCAAGATATTTGACTTCTTTAACATGCGTTAAATTTTAGTTATTTGAATAACACGTCTAATGAATTAAGTGAAGTAGTTTGTCGTTAACGTGAGAGGTGAAGCCATGCACTAATCACTTCATTAATATCCTAATAAGAAAAACGTCAAGAAAAAAATTCACAAGTATTGCGGACACTTTAACCCTTTTACCTACCAAAAAAAAAAGTATTGCGGACACTTAGATTTGTTCTCTTTTCAATAGATTTAGTGCTCTGATAGAAAAAAAATCAAATATCTTTGATATTGATGTAACAACGATAAATATAAACAGTTTGAAAATTTTAATTAATTGATATTTTCAAAATATACACTAGAACCAAAACGACAGTGTTTTTCTGTGACAAGGTAAAGAGAATGAAATATCTCCCAACCTGTCTGTCAACACTTGAAAAAAAAAAGACATAAAAGTCTGTGGCGACCAAAAGAGGCAAAGAGAGAGAGAATGATATTAACTAGTATAAGCCTCTCAACACCAGTTTCTTCTCAAAGGTTCTCTCCACCTCCTGCTACTACAACGAGGTATGGTTTTCTATTTTGAACCACAAATTCATTAGCTCCTATCAACCTCAAGATCATTAATGCATATCATAAATTTAGTTAGGTTTATGACAAAGTTACAGAATCAGATCCTTGAATGAAACATAGAGATTCAATGTTTAATCTCAGAAACTCTGTTCTTCCTGCTGTTTTGGTTTATGAAATAGAAGATGCTCCCTGATCAGGATAGACAGGAGATCTCATATCTCTGTCACAGTCTGTTCTTCCAAAGGGTTGCTGAAGAATGCTGAGTTAAAATGTTTCTTGGAGAAGCCAATTGGAAACCTGTCTTTGAGAAAGCATCTTGTTTCAGGGTTGGCAGCTATTTTGCTTCTCTCTCAGGCAGGCCAGGTATGTTGGAGCCGACATTGCAATAAGCGTGTTCGATTGCTTCCAAAAGCGGTCTGAATTTCTGATTTTCTTCTGGCAGGGTATTGCGTTGGATCTCTCATCTGGTTATCAGAACATTTGCCAACTAGGGAGTGCTTCTGTGGAAGAAACAAAGCTGACTCTTCCACTTGACAATGCATCTGATGGTGACTCGGAAGCGATGATGATGATGATGATGAGAGGCATGACTACTAAGAACTTTGACCCAGTTAGGTACTCTGGAAGATGGTTTGAAGTAGCTTCTCTTAAGCGTGGATTTGCGGGTCAAGGCCAAGAAGACTGTCATTGTACCCAGGTAACTGTTTCTTCAACTCCACAAATTGTGAAAACCCCCATCCTCTGCAAACATAATGTGAGAACAACAACTAATTGCTTTGCAGGGGGTATACTCGTTTGATATGAAGGAATCCGCCATTCGAGTAGATACATTTTGTGTTCACGGCAGTCCTGATGGATATATAACAGGAATCAGAGGAAAAGTCCAATGCGTGGGAGCGGAAGACCTGGAGAAAAGCGAGACTGACTTAGAAAAGCGAGAGATGATTAAAGAGAAGTGTTTCCTCCGATTTCCCACAATTCCTTTTATTCCCAAGTTGCCTTATGATGTCATAGCCACTGACTACGACAACTATGCTCTTGTTTCTGGAGCCAAAGACAAGGGCTTTGTTCAGGTTTGATTCAAGAACTCATTGATTTGACATATCTCTTGTACTCTCTTATATAATTAAACTTCATGTGTTTGATATGTTAGGTATACTCAAGAACACCAAATCCAGGACCTGAGTTCATCGCCAAGTACAAGAACTACTTGGCACAATTTGGCTATGACCCGGATAAAATCAAGGATACACCACAGGACTGTGAAGTGATGTCTGATGGTGAGCTAGCTGCCATGATGACCATGCCAGGTATGGAGCAAACACTGACCAACCAGTTTCCAGATCTTGGATTAAGAAAGTCAGTCCAGTTTGACCCCTTCACAAGTGTGTTTGAAACCTTGAAGAAACTTGTCCCGCTCTATTTCAAGTAGAGCAGCTTCTTTTGCTCAAAGCTATTAAAAATTCTTATGTAGATGATATAATCACTGTCCTTATACACGTGACTGAGTGTAAATACATCTTCCAGAATCAAACACTCTTCTGATCAATACCCTTGAGTTTGTATCAAACAATGACTAGCGAGCAAACTCTATTCCGTTCTTCGAGCTTCCTTATCATAGGAAATAACCAACCAACTTCACAGAGCAAATATGAAATATAGGAGATGATTGTGCGCATCAGTCAATACCAGAAGGTAATTATCTCTCACTCCGATGAAAATAAAATTACTTTTCAATCGAGCCCAATCGTTGCCTAGGGACTCGAGCTTTCTCTCTCGCGTGCAGACGACTGTTTAGATCTAGATCTAGTTTTTCCTGTTCTTTGAGCTTCATCGCTGGCCGCCGGCAAGCTTGACGGAGCAGCTACGGCGGAAGTCGTTGGGGGAGCGGTGGGTTATATTGTTGCGTTTGGTAGTTAACGACTAATCCCGGCAAGATTGGTTGGCTACCGCGGATCTCGGGTCTAGAGGGTCTTAGTGAGCCGTTAAGCCTCTTGATCCGCCGTGGTGGTGTCTACTAAACCGGATTGATGGGTTTTTGTCTCGGAGGAATTCGGAGCTTCCGGTGGTGGTTTGGGAGGTTAGATCCCAGTTTGTTGGTTGCTTGGCATGTGACCAGACAACGTGGAGCCGGTCGTCGGGGAGTTGCGCATACCGGGAAGAGTGTGGTGGGTTTGGTGCGTCGGCGGCGTGAATTCGTCGGAGGGAACCGGATTCTCCCACCGTGTTTTTCATGTCTCCGATGCTGCCACAAAGCTGTCCTCTTTGAATCCACCGGAGATTGTGCCGCTGACTCTTTCGCCTCCGGTCGTCAGCAAGATCCGAGTCTCGAACCGTCGCCGGCGTTAGGTTTCCGTTTTCCTTCTTTTTGTAACTGTGGTTTCGTTTGTAGGCCCAAAAGCCCAAGCCCGTCATGAGATTTATTAATATAATTTCAGTTTAAAAAAAAAAAAAAAATACTTTTCAATCTTTTGACATGATGGGCCAAATGGGCTTTCTGATTTATATATAAGCCCATTTATGATTGGAACTAGGCCTGGGCTTTTAAACCGAACCGAATGTACCGAACCGAAACCGAAGTAAAAAAACCGAACCGAAAATTTGAAAATAACCGAATGGATACTAAATTTTATAACCAAAATAATCGTAACCGAATCGGTACCGAACCGAAATATTTCGGGTAACCGAAATATTTCGGGTAACCGAAATACCCGAAATATAATTATATTTTAAAAATAATTAGTTATTTATAGACCGAATAATCAAAAATACTAAATTTTGAAACCGAAAGAACCGAAACCGAATGGACCCAACCGATAACCGAACGGTTAACCGAAAGTCCAGGCCTAATTGGGACTCGAGTTCATCAATTCCAAATTTTTACTTGGGAAGGCAACGTTCAAAGGCTAAAAGTTTTTCGTATTGGGTTTGGAGGATGAGGACGACCAAGGGAGGGAAGGCGATGAACCCTACCGATTCCTTCCGCAAGAAAGAATTGAGACGGGTAAGGGAGGGAAGGCTTTTCTCGAACAGTCCTTCCTTATTAGATTTTGTTTTCAATCTAATTGCTCAATGGCTTAGGTTCATGTTTTAATTTGTGTTCTTGTTACATTGCTCTGATAAAAAGTTAAGGTTTTTAAATCTTCTTGTGTTGATTTCTGAGATTCTTTTCTTCTGTTTACTGGAATTTGGCAAGTGGATAATCTTGTTCTGCTTCAAGAGCTCTTGTTTATAACATGTTATGGAGGTTTTTTCATTGGTTCAAGTGGGTACATTTCTTTAGGAAAGCTCTTCTTTTGTCAATTTGATTCTTAATCAGTGTTTTCTTTTGCTTGGAGTTGTAACCGGTGCTCAAAATCATATGATTAGTATTTTATGCAGGAATTAAGAGCAGTGTTTTGGACAAAGAGATCAAATTTTCACTCAATGGTTTATTATCTGTCTTACGATTGATAGAATTGCTATTGTTGTGTGGTCTTTGTTGGTAACACAGAACAAGCTAGAGAGAAAGAAGATAAGAGAGGTCGGGATTTTAAACAAGGATCCTGAACAAATTAAGGAACAGATCAGGAAACTAGATATCTCAAGTAAGTCATCCTCTTTACTTTCTCCAAGGTCTCAGCTTATAACCCGTGACATTATAAGGGTCCTTTATCAATGTTGTTATCCAACCAAACCGAACTTACAATTCTGTTTTGTAGCTTAGCATAATTGTTCAACTAACAAAGAGTTGCTTATTGATTTGGTGTAGAGGCTGAAGGTGCTTTGGACAAAGCAAGAAAACATAAAAAGAGACAACTTGAAGATACTTTGCAGATGTCGTGAAGAAGAGGAAGGTATGAGGAGAAAAGGAAGGAGCAGGGGGAACCTACAACCTCTGTTATGTTCAGGTGAATAATTGAGCTCTCCAGTTCTATCATATTGACAGTTAGGATAAGATGTCGCTGGCCTCCTATGATTTATATCTTGTTCTTGTGTTTCCTATATAGCCACCTACCCCCACAACGAAGACCTGGCGAGGAGGATGAAAGATCAAAGGATTTAACACCAGAGGTACTTAGCTTGTCTTTGTCTTTGTTTCTCTTTCTTAGTTTTAGATTTCCCTCACCTTTCTGTTTTATGATGACAGGACTCTGTTTATTATCACCCCACCTTGAACCCGACTGGTTCGCCACCCCCTGGAAAGCCACCCATGTATAGATCCTCTATAGCTACTCATTTTATTTTGTTAAATTCCGCTCTTTACTCATAAACAAAACAGTATTGTTTCCTACCTCCGCTCTCTTAAAAAGATTTGGCTATATTGCAGGACCTGGAATCCCCTTAGATGGCGCTTCCTCTAGTGGTGTTGCATCATCTTCAAATTATGAGTTGGAAGATGCTGTAATAACTTCTCCCCCGCCTCTGTCAGATGGCAGTATTTCAGGCTCTCTGGATGGAAATGCTTTTCCTGGTTTGCCTTTTCCACCTCCATTGCCTCCAAATCCTCCTGCTCCAACTACAGGACTTGCTTTTCCACCACCACCTCCTGGTCCCCCACCAAATGAACGGGTTACGGTTCGTCCTCCTCTTCCGCCACCTCCTCCCTTTCCTCAATCTTCCCAACTACCTTCACCTGGCCTTAATGGAAGTGAAACTGATAGCAAAATCCTTCCCTCATCAGATCTAACCTTCAGCGACCAGAACGTAAGTTTACACTAAAACTCTTTCTAGACCCTAATGTGTCACTCATAGCTTTCTTAAACTTTCAGGAGGACTTTTAATTAGTTAGGACAAAAAAAGTTTGTGGATTATTGAAATTCTTCATTAAGTTGTCCATACTCCATAAGAAAAAAATTCAACTGGAATTTAGATATTAGCGAAAGGTTAAAACGAGATTCATTTTGCATTTCCATCGTGCAGGTCTCTACTGTGACTTCTATCCCTCCTCCCCCACCTGGGCTTCCCCCGACACCTGTAAGCAATGGTGGTCCATCAAATTCTAATAACAGTAGTAGTAATCTTCAAGATGCTAACTTCTCCATGATGGTTGCACCAACTAGTTTTCCTCTCTAATTTACAGCCTGATCTTATGCATTCAGGGATGTTACGCTTTCCACCGCCACCTCCAGATATGCGTCCCCCTCCTGGACTCCCTCATGGAATGTTGGGTCATCTAGGAATCCCAAGGCCGCCTAATGGTCCACCACCTGGACCACCTCCTATGATGAGACCGCCACTTCCTCCAGGTCCACCGCCTAATTTTCAAGATGGGCAAGCAATGAGTAGGCCATATGTGCCACAGAAACTATCTTACGTAAAATCTGCTGCTCCTACAGTTGTCAAGAGACCACTTGCTCAGCACACACCTGAGCTTACATCCATGGTGAGTGACATGATATACTCTAAGAAATAGTGCATAACTATATGGCCCCTTTATTTGTGCATTCATGTGGATTCTCGTTTGTTTTTTTGATGTTCAGATCCCTGCGTCAGTTCGAGTCAGAAGAGAGTCAGCACCTACAACCAAACCAAAGCCAAAGATTTCGACAGCAAACAGCTTGGGATTTACTCCAAGGTCTATTACAACTCATGCTGCCCCGGTGAAGCCAGTGTCTGCCACCAACACATCTGCACCGTCAAAGCCACAGAGCATCGACGACTCTTATTCTGCCTTCTTGGAGGACATGAAAGCTCTAGGAGCACTTGATGGCTAAAATAGAAGACTGCATAGAGGGATGGAAGCAATTTCTTCTGGATTATAGTTTCAAAACATTCCAGTGAAAAGAAATCAGACGACCTGGAAGATTTAGTTTCTCCCAGAGAAGTGGAGATTGTTTATCTTCAGCTGTTGTTTAGATATCATATCATTGTATTCATTCATCAACTCTGAAGTGTTTGCATCTGCAAAGATGTTTTAAGTGAAAGCTAAAACATTTTGAGACTAGAGGGGAGTTCAAATAGTGATGTTCCCCTTAATCGTTGTCGTCTTCTTCACTGTCAGAGGCCGCAACAGTCACATAGATTTTTTGTCGCAAAAGTCTATCCATAAGATTTTGACGTGTAAAAAATAAAATTATACAATAAATTACCAATCCTAAAAATAAAAAGATTACAATTACTTTCTTTAAAAAGGTATACAAATTGACAAAAAAGGTATATAAAATAAAATAATATGTAGTAAATAACTAATCCTGAAATTATATAGTATTAAAAAGAAAGGTATACATACAAAATAAAATTAAAAGCACATAACCTTATTTTATAAATGTTGATGTTTAATGATTGATAATTTAACTTTACTAGATTATTGTAATAGATTTTACAATAAATTTAAATTATAGAAATACAAATATTGTAAGTGTATTAAGGCAAAAACCAATATATAAATAAATTTTTTTGTATGAAGAATATATAAATAATTATCTTCTCTAACTAAACTAATTGTGCCTACTTATAACAAAATTTTAAAATATCGCTTAGAAAAATTTAAGTTCATTTTAAAACTTTAAAACCCGCACATCAAGCGGCTCTTAATCTAGTATTAAGACAAAAACAGGTTGTATAAGGTTACGTCTGCTTAAAAGGGATATCCAATTATCAATTTAGTTTTCTTAATATTAATATATTGTATCATAGTTCATGACAAAATAAAGCTTAATGGCTAATAGTTAATATAGTTTTGGCATGAATTGGTGAGAGGAGCATGTTTTTATATATACGATTCAAGAAGAAACAGAAAAGATGGATGATTAATTGGAAAAGTTTTATGTATAATTGTTACAAACATCTTATAAAACAAAAATTGATAAGACCTAAAAAAAAAAAAAAAAACAAATTGATAAGACTTTTTCCTATGCATAAAACAAAAAGGTCAACGAATGTTAGGCAACGTAAAAATCATTGCATAAAACAAAAAGGTCATCGAATTTGAGGTTCTACTAAAAATCATTTTACCACTAACCTTCATTTCATTGCTTTGTTTTGGGGCAACGTAAAAAAATGTTAGGCAAAAGCTAAAAAGGTATAATTTGGTTAAAATGACAACATCCCTACATATACATTTGTGAACGAATTAAGATTCTTGGACTTTCGTATATTTTCCAACAACACAATTTATGGTTGTTGGTATGATGGTAATGTATTATATTATAGAACCATATTCCCTTGTACCATTCGTTCGCTGGCTTCACGCTTCTAATTTGATGCCTAGTATGTTGTGTTGAAAATACGATTGATATACAGAAAAATATATTGTGATACTTGTATGAATTGTGAGATATTTATGAATTTCTAATCTATGACATGAATGCTTTTTACTGTTTTTTTCTTTTTTTTTTTTTTTGGATGTGAATGGATTAGAAAATTAAATTTTGCATAGGGAAACTTAAAAAAAAAAGACGGTTTCGTAGACTTGGCTCCATCTTTCTTTATTATTTGTTCCCCTAATTAATAGCAACATCTAGCTAATTTTATTGTGTTGAGTATATATATATATATTTTTGGTGAGAGTGTGTTGAGTATATGTTTTTTTTTGGACAAAAAAATAAATTTAAACTATAAATATTTGCTACTAAGAGAGACTATCAATTTATCATTTTCTGAGTCATAAACTGTGATGTTTTGTTTATGGTGTCTTGTGTTCTCACAAACCTTTGTTCTCAGCCATGTTAGAGAGGTAACTTTCGTTTTTTTTCTTTCGCATTATCGATTGTTTAGCTGAATAGTTTTGTAATTTGAAAAACTTTTTGTGGTTGACATAACTCAATAGAGGTGAAATCCAAAACAAAGTGGGGATGCGACGTGAACAGAGACCATTTCATTTCCTGGAAAGTGCGGAACTAATGGAAAGAGTACATGCATAAGCGACCTAAAAAAAACTCTTGGTGCGCCAAAAAGTCTTGTCGTACGCTGCGAATGTTCTGACTGTTTTGTTTGGAAGGGTAGCCCTCCCGAGCGTTTATGTAAATGTCAATATAATTGTTAAGTTTTACTAATATCACCATAACCAAAATCTCTTTACTAATAAATAAGAGAATAACTATAAAGATGTTTTGGTGTTTTTGGTGTCAGTTTATTAATTAATCTTCTTTTAACGTCGTGACATTTGATATACATGCAACATGAGTGATGAATGTTACAAATTCTTGTGAAAACTCTTGGAACAAACGATCCCATTTTACTACTTTTGGTGTGCTTTGCATCATACCAGGATGTCTCAAACATCTTCATAATCCTCGCGATTCTCTCAATCGTTGGACCCATGTTTGAAGGCAAGACACCGCTTTAGAACTCTGTTATCTGCTTTTTCATTTTTTTCATATATATATATATATATATATATATATATGTGTGTATACTGTCTATTTTTCCCTGGTTTTTCCTAAGGTAAAATATGATTTCTTCAAATATATATATTGTGTAATTTTTCTTTAACCAAAAATACTTTTAGCCGAACTCCAAATTTAATGATGAGACTTTCTTCTCCATCCTCGTAAAAAACATCCTCAACAACACTTCTTCCTAAAACATTTTGACTAGATAATTACGTACCTGTGTATCGTAAATTTAGATTTTAATTTCCTAGAGATATATACTACAGTATTTGGGAAACCAATTAAGAAGACTGAGCTTATGATAGCAATAGCTAGAAACGGAAGGTGGAGTAAGAGGCTAGCTAGTGGCTGCGCAGGTGGTTTGTGTGGTTACGGCCATGATCATGAAGAAGAGCATCGTCGTTGTCGCTGGTAGGTGGAGCTTATAGTTGTGTCAGTGACTGCTAGCTAGCTGCACTTGTCCCGTGCGGTGGATGTGATGGTAGCAAGCAGTTGTGATTTGTGAAAAGTGATATATAGTGGTTAATTATGGCCTTATGGGTGATGAAAATTAAAGAGCAGAGTCGCTAGTGGAGAGCTTGTCGTGCCAGCTGTGACAGCCCCATCCCGCGATGGATACGTGAAGATAGAGATTGTGAAAGTGATAGTGGTCGTGGATGATGATATATATGGGGATAGCAACACTCAAATAGCGGCGCCGTTTGCACCTTGATGTGTCATGTGTGTACGTACGTAGGTAAACTATTCGAAAGAACAAGAAAAAAAAAGATTTGTGTATGTGTATAACTTGAATAATGGTGTGACATCGTAAAATGATTAGAAAACTGAAATGAAATGAAATATATCATCGTAAAACGAAATGAAAACTAGTACCGTGTGACATGTATATGCAATTTGTTCGTTTATTTTTTTATGAGGCACGTCAGACTGAGAGAGAGTGTGTTATTCGTTCCTTCACCGACGTTGTGTTGGCCCAGAGGTAAATCTCTCAGGTGGAGGTACTGGATTTGATGCCCGTTGGGAGGGATCTCCTCTCCAAAGGAGATGAATTTAACCTGGTGTGAATCCCGCCTCTGGGAGATGTAGGGCCTTCGGGCTTGAACTTCCAGATATTCAAAAAAAAAAAAAAAAAAAAAAATCGTTCCTTCGTTGTGGTTGTTCTGCATGTTATATAAATTAAGCTATGACGTGCCATATTTGGCTTCTACTTAGGGCTTGATTGGTTCTTCCGCTAGAACCCTCCTAGCGGTTACTAGCGGTCGGTTGCAGTTGTTAGCGGTTGGTACCAATCATAGAAACCGCTCCGAATCGCTTCAAACCGCTCGAAACCGCTGAATTTCAAAAGCTCCTTCCCGCAAGCGTTTGCGGCTGCGGACGGTAGCGGTTGTATTAAAAAAAAAAAATCATCAAATGTTTACTTATAATTATTATAAAATATATTAATCCTATATATATCTTTCATCTTTGTATCACGTTCTCATCAGAAACCCTAATCAATATTCTAAAACCTTATTCTCTCAATGTCTTACACCCAAACTGATGAAAATCAAGAACCAAACGTAAGTATCATATAGTATCATTTTATTCATTCACCACCTCATGTGTAACTCTTTGAATATTTTTCATCGCATTGTTTTTTTTCTTTTCATTATGTATTGCTTTGCTTTTTGATTGAATATATGTTTCGATTTGTTTTCTCGAATAGAAACTCACTTGCTTTTTGATTGAATTCAACGTTATTTATAGTTTGTCCTATTATTTGATGCGATTTTTGGAGTTAAACCAGCATAAAGTACTATATTGTTACAAAAAAATTTTATTTTTGAATAATTATTTAGTACTTTATTTATGGTTTTAATTATTAAACATGTTCAATTTTTCTAATATTATCATAATAATATATTGGTGTTTTTCATTCTTTTCTTTGTAATTATATTTTTTATTTTTTGGTCATTTTTCTATTTAACTGCTACCGCACCCGCTGGTTTACCAGTCATAAAACTCCCGCAAACGCATCCAGTTTCAAACGCTAAACCAGTCGTTCAAAACACTTGGTAACGCTTGAAACAGCAACCGCCCGCTTCCGCAAACTCCCGCAACCGCAACCGCAACTGCTGCATTTAAACCAGTCAGGCTCTTAGACCAATGAAATTTAAGACGACTTCCCTATTTTTACCAAAAATAAATAAAATTATTCTCCCAAAATTAAATATCTCTAAGAGAAACAAAAATATCTCACATTTCTTCACACTGCTCTTCTTCTCACTCGCTTTTCTTCTATGACAAAAAAGCTCTCTGTCTCTCCGATTAATAGATTTCCGATTTCCGATTTCCAATTACGACTGCTTCTTAAGATGACTATAATACCTACTGCTGATCAGATTGAAAAAGCCAAACGCTTGAGAAGCCAAAACCGAAAAGTCGCCGGTGTGAGGGCCCAAGCCTACGACGAGCAGAATTTATGCCTCAACAGAATCTTCGAAAGTGAATCTCGAACCCTTGGTCGAGACAAGCAACTCCTGAAGCTGGAGATCTGGGAACTGATATATCATAGATTTTACCGTTTTTAGCCATGATATATGTGTTAGTTTTAGAGTCTTTTTGTTATTTT